TTGATATCATCAAAATTCTATTTCGGAGTCATATATTTTTTTAAAAGTCAACTCTCCGGTCAACTCTTTCCATTTAAGCTTCAAATTAAGGATTGTTTGTTTAATTAAATTCTGAATCTTTTGTAAATCAAACTCGACCACACCCGAAGGTCATAATACATATTGCGAAGCTGCTCGAGATATTAAGTCATTGAACGGGGTATAAATTCTTAAAACGACAAGTCGGGTCGTTACTGGATCAATTCCAGATTGGGCTTGATTTTTGGGCTAAAATTGATTTAAATGGTAGCCACTTTGTATTTAATTGAAGAATTGCAATTGTAGCCTTTAGTCTTTAACCTTTTAAAATTAATTTAATTAAACTTAAATAACTTCTAATAAAATATAGTAAAGTTATAAATATCAAATATACTATTAATTATTGTAATTAATTATTTATAAAATACTTTGTTTTCTGAATTGCAACATTAATTTCTAACCTATTATTCTAATTAATCAAAATATTTAATAAGTAATTCGTTAAATTAATCATAAAAACCTCTATGGCATATTTGAAAATTATTTTAATAATATTAAAATAGTAAGTACATTTGTAATTACATATTACTAATGCTGAATGATTAATTTAAAAACTGATACTTAATTTGTAAAAATAGATATTTATTGATAAGAATTACTTTCAAAATATTTATTGTAAATTATTAAGTATAAGTAAATTAATTTTAAAAGGGAGGGTCAAAATTGGCCGTCAACCGTCTTCATCCGTTGCAATATTTTGTTTTTCTCTCTGACATCTTTTCCATCAACAAAAAAACTCAGTAACTAATGTTGCCTTGAAATGTTCTGTTAAAAGGGTTGTAGGTCATCCTAACCATGTCCTATGCCCAGCTGCTGGTAAAATATTGGATTAGTTCTGTATTGTAAGGATCATTCTTCCTTATCTGGTCGCTAGAGCATGGTAACTGCTAAATTGGCAGTTTGCAAGTATGTGATCTTGCAGATTATGTAGAAGTTGATCTTTTGTATCGACCAATTTTTTATGTTTAGGTTTCCGTGGGCTTCTTCTCTGCCTCTATGGCAGGCTTAATGGCACCAAACTAAACTTTTACTTTGAAGTCCAAGTTGTTTGGGACACATTTTATATATTTAGAAAATTATCGGAGGTTAATTAAGCTCTTTTTGCTGCAACATGCATTTCTACCAGATGGGTCCGGGATTTAACTAAAAGGGAAACACTTTGTTCTTTGTGTAAGAATCGTCATTGTGTATTTCAATGTCATATGAAACTTGAAATAAAAGCAGTTTCTCCTTTCATTCTTGTGTTTCTCTTTTTAAGCTTTTGTTGGGATGGGAAAGAGGAGAGAGGGGGGCTTGAACGTGGTCCTTTTGTAGTTTATTTTTGTTATTGCTGGTGTGAAGTTACAGTTCATGAAAATTACTGGGGGGTTTGCCCTTGTTGGAGCCTTGGGGAGTTGTAGTTTGGTTTATGGTAAGGCCTGGTTTGATGTTTCACCACTTCTCTTTGGATTCACCCTTTCTTTTCCTCATATTTTTGGGTTACACATACGTGGAATATCCCAATTAATTTATTACTATTACTTTCACTGTTCTATTTTATATATCACTCTTTCCTTTTTAGTCCGTAAAACAGAGATAGACAATCTGATGATCGTGAGATGAATCTTGAAAGGGCGGTGATACTGCCTGTCAACCTCTGAACCTGTTTGATTAATTCATGTTTTCTCTTTCTAACCTCTCTCTCATGGTGCTCGGTGTACGATAGCTAACGTGTGCCTCTGTGTCTTCGACCATGGCTAGGGGACAGGGAAGAGGAAGAGGACGAAAATGAGGATGATGACGAGGTTGGAAACAATAACCATTAGTAGCATTTGGTAGCTCTGTAGGTGCTCGATTACCGGTAGATGTGATGGCAGCTTCTTCTTCGACTGCAATAGGGAATCCTTTGCAGAGTGATAAATCAGTGGTATCTTCTGAACGGGTGGTGCCTGAAACAATCCAATCTCTGGGTCGATTAGACCTTACTACTCCACCACCTTTTGTGGAAAAAGTGGATGGTGGTAAGGATAGCTCCAATGAAACAATATCTACACCCAAGGTGATTGAGGAATTAGATCGAACTGATGGCATGCCTAATGACAAAGGGAAGCTACCTGCATGGACCAGCTTGTTTAAGAATAACAGGTCAGTGAAAAATGGTATGGCTCTATCCTATATCCCCCCTCAAATTATGGATGGGCATCCGATTGTCCAGTTGGAGAAAGCTGAGGTTGAACAGGAGATATTAAAATGGCGATGTGCGCTAATAGCCTATTTCATAGGTGTTGTACCAGGTTATAATGTCATGCGTAGATTTGTTAGCCAAAACTGGGCACAAGCTGCAAATCCTGATCTATATCTCCATGACGAGGGTTACTATATGATTAAGTTCCAAACTATTGAAGATCTGAATGCAGTCTACTATTCTGGACCCTATTCAATCAACAATAGATCTCAACAAAGGTTTAAGCAACTTAATGTTTAACCATATATCCTTCATAGGCCACATATCTAGTTTCTGCTCCCAACTTTATTGCACCATAGCCAAGAAATCCTGGTGACCAATCCATACATTGAAGAATCTGAATGGGACATTGATGTTTCTAGCCTTAGTCTTGAGGGACAAGATCATAGGAGAATGATCAGAGAAGAAAGGAAGTTCAAACTCAGTTACTACATGCCCCCATTGCAACATCCATTCATGATTACCAAATGCTCTATCTATTCTGCTACAGACCCTATCAGCACCACTTTGCTTATTTGACCATGTATAATACTCCCCTTTTCCATTGTAATTCAGACAGTAGAAGATCAGTAACATACTCGGAATAGGCTTTGATCTCTGCATAGGTAACTGGGTTCCCAAATATCCTATATTGAGGGAGGAGCATAGCATTGAAGTCGCCTATAATCAGCCAGGGAACATGAACTCCAAGTGCAACCTGTTTCAATCCTTGCCACATAGCCTCTCTATGTTCAATTGCATTAAAGCCATATATTACTGTAACTATACAATCTAAAGGCCCTTGTCTCTCCTTGACATGACAGTGTAAAAATTGAGCATCCACCTTCAATACAGATACCTCATATAGATTGTTTTCCCATAGTAATCATATTCTCCCATTCATAGCCTTCTGGAAATTGTTTTCCAATCCCCAGCAAGGGGAAATATTATTCCATACTTGTTTAGCTTTGGGTGATTTAACATTTGTTTCAACTAGTCCAGTAAGCTTAATGTTCTTTATTTTTAAGTAATTTCTCAACTCCTTCTGTTTATACCTCTTATTCATACCTCTAACATTCCAAAAAAGCCAATTCATAATGAAGGTTTAGAGCCACCTCCTTTATCAGGAGGTAGTGTAAGACTCACACTATTCCTTTTTTTTGCTAACACATTACCAGAAGATGATGCAGGGCCCAAGGCAGGGAAATTTGCTAAATTAAGCTCAGGGTTGCTCATCAAGGATTTCACCTTCTGTGCATGAGGTTGAGGATCCACAGTTTTACTTTGCTCAACACACTGAACTACTATATAAGTAGCACGTGGAGCTTCTTTAGGAACATTGTTGATCATCTCAATACTAGTAGCACCTACTTGAATGTTAGGTGCAGTAGCATTTGGAGAGACTGGTCCCTTAGTTTTCCATTCCATCGTAACCTTCCTTGGTTCTCTTCTTCTTTCCTGTGGTGCATGATTCTGAGTGTCAGGCTTAGCAGGAGGTGGACACTTATGTCCCACTACTTGGCATAGTTGGCAGAACTCGGGTTTCCAATCAAATATAACTTTCTGGGTGAATTGTCGACCATTTGGATCTAGCACTTTAATTGCTTCAAGCAATTCTCTAGTGACATTTACTTCAACAAGCATCCTAGCATAGAAAATTCGTGTCTGCTTGGAAGTACATTCATCTGCAAAGATGGGAGTTCCAATAATACTTGTTACCCTATTAAGGGAGTTTCTACTCCAACAATTCATAGGGAGCTTTGGGAATTTCACCCACAGTGGAATCTCAGTAGGAAATTCAGTGTTGAAATCAAATTCAGATGTCCAAGGTTTAAGAAAAGCAGTTGAACAATGCAGAATTCAAGAGTATTTCTCAGAAAATTGTCCTAGCTCGAGAGAAACTGCAGCTAACTCAGGAGATGATAAATGCTCAATGTACTGACCATCTCTTTGGGAAAAGAGAAACATATCTTGCTTGATTTGGAGAAATGGTCACTTGTGGACGAAAGTACTCTTAGGCAGAAAGCTCGTGCAAAATTGATAAAACTTGGAGATGCCAATACCAAGTATTTTTCAGTTTTGGTTAAGGAAAGAACACAAAAGAAGCAGATATTACATCTTACATCCCTTACTGGTGCACAATTGACCGATCCTCTAGCTATAAAGGAGGAAATTATTGCTTTCTATAAATCCCTTATGGGGACAACTTCCCCTTCAATCCCAGCAGTTAACAGACTCACAATGATGAAAGGTTCAACCCTCTCTCAACAACAAAGAATGGAGTTATGTGATGATATTACTGACCAAGATGTATGGTCTGGATTACAGGCCATAGAGGATGACAAAGCTCCAAGTATTGATGGGTACAACTCTCATTTCTTTAAACAAGCTTGGCCAATACTGAAGGATGAGGTGACTCTGGCAGTTAAACAATTCTTTGCATCGGGGAAATATTTAAAGCTATTAACTGCACTACGATCACATTAGTTCCAAAGAATTCTAGTCCTCTGACAGTAAAGGAGTATAGACCAATTGCTTGTTGCACCATATTGTATAAGATCATAGCAAAAATATTGGCTGCTAGGATTCAAAAAGTTATACGTAGTATCATCTGTGATGCTCAGGCAGGTTTTATTCCAGGAAGGAAAATCTCAGATAATATTATCTTCGCCCATGAATTAGTCAAAGATTATGGAAAAAAAATGCATCTCCCAGATGTATGGTGAAGATTGATTTGCAAAAATCCTATGATTCAGTAGAATGGCCCTATTTGAATCAGGTTATAAGTGAATTGGGGTTCCCTGACAAATTTGTCTCTTGGATAATAGAATGTCTACGAGCTGTGAATTTTACTGTGATGGTAAATTGGGAAACTATAAATCCATTTGATGCTGCTAAAGTATTGAGACAGGGAGACCTCATTTCTCCTTATCTATTTTCAGTGGCTATGGAATATTTGAGCAGGAAGCTACATGAACTTAGGGACGACAAATCCTTTAACTTCCACCCCATATGTGCTAAATTGAAGATCACCCATATGAGCTTTGTAGATGACTTATTGTTATTTTCTATAGGTGACATGAAGTCAGTTAATGCACTTCACCAAGCTTTCAAACAGTTCTCAGAAGCTTCAGGGTTACAAGCCAATCTACAAAAAATCTCTATCGATTTTGGTGGAGTTTGATCATGTGGAAAGAGATAGAATTGTACATAAGCTTTGCATTCCTGCTGGTGAGTTATCTATTAGGTATCTGGGAGTTCCCCTATCCACTAAAAATATCTCCTTTATTCAATGGTTACCTCTAATAGAGAAAATAGTAGACAGAATTACCTCCTGGACAACTAAGAAACTCTCCTACGCTGGGAGAGTTCAACTGGTGCAATCTGTTCTTTTTGGAGTCCAATCATATTGGTCTCAGCTATTTCAAATGCCAGTTAAGGTCCTTAAATTGATTGATGCATATTGTAGAAGTTTTGTGTGGTCGGGCACTGAAACTATTACGAAAAAGGCCCTTGTCTCTTGGGAAAAAATGTATTTGCCCAGAACCTTTGGAGGATTAAACCTCCTTAACATAAAGATCTGGAATAGAGTTTCTCTAGCTAAGACACATTGGTACCTTGCTCATAAAGATGACAAATTATGGATCAAATGGATCCATGAGTTCTACCTCAAAGGCCATCCTCTTACCACAACCAGAGTTCCCCAACAAGCTTGTTGGATCATGAGGAAAATCTTGGAAGCTCGACAGACTTTGTTGCAAGTGCAGATAAGAAAGGGGCCAGGCAGCCTGACCAAACATATTTATGAGCAGCTGCTACCTAGTTACCCTAAAGTACCCTGGAAATGTATGATGTACGATAATGATGCTAGACCCAAGGCCAAATTCATCATGTGGCTGCAGCTACAAGACAAGTTTCTCACTACTGATAGGCTAGCAAACTGGGGTTAAGCTGTTGACTTAGAATGTGTCATGTGCCATACTCAACCTGAAAGTAGAAATCATTTGTTCATGGACTGTGATTTCACTAGAGCAGTGTGGAATAGGATTCTCTTACGGCTTCAGAAGCAGGCATGGCCAACCACTGGATGGGATCAACATGTAGCTTGGATAATCCAGAGTGCAAAAGGGAGGACTCAACAAGCTCACATCTTCAGAAGTGTCTATGCAGAATGTGTCTATACCATTTGGATGGAGAGAAATCAGAGGAACTTCGAAAAGAAATCAAGGAACTGGAAGATTATAGCTAGAGAGATTGCCTACTTGTCCAATGTTAGAGCATCTCATGGTGTCCAAAACTTGTTACATAGCATGTTGTTCTAGCTTGGTTAGCTAAAGGTGATTACTTGTTTTCTAGTTCAGCTTAGGCTTTTGGTGTTTTTCTTTAGATAGCTAGTTGTGTTAAACTGGCTATGGTATTGTAATGTTGATTCCTGGTGATTAATATAAAGTTAGTTACCAAAAAAAAAAACAGCGATAGACATCTTCCTATATTTGCAAACTAACTTTAAGCTTCCTATTTTATCCTTAATGATACATCGTTTTATAATGATAGAGATGTCATGTTTAAAATCACAACTTTCAATGATACTTTTGGAATGTACTATTTTTTTTCTTTCTTAAACTCTATACTCAATCAAACACAGTCAGTCATATAAGATGAAATGAAATGATTAAATACAAATAATGGGTGGAAGATATTGTTAGAAAATTATTGTTTAAATATAATTTATATTTTAAAAGTTCAAAAGTTTAAATGAAAGGGTGTGCCTTTGCTTGAATGGATATGTCTGTTCCTTTTGTAATTGTTTTGTCTACATAAAGAAATTGGTTTTTTCCTTCCAAAAAAAATTGAATTCTAAAAATGTTACTTTACAGAGAGTATTTTTACCAACCTTCTGCAAAATACTTTTCCTTTTCCAGCTTCCTATTCTAAAGATCAAGTTCCATAGTTCTTGCTTTCCAGTAGAATTTCTCTACTGTTTGCTTAGTGTAGAAATTCATAGGCTTGTCATATCCACTAAAGCTATTTGCCAAAAATCCCATAGCAATCTGGCAGAGGAGAGAGTGCAAATATCGCTTTTAGGAAAGCGTTTCGTACGTGTTTCAAGCCTTCTAATATGTGGTCGTTATTCATATTTTACAACAATCTAAAAGCGATATTTTTGACAATTTTTTATTCCAAGCAACATAAAATTCTTCTTAGATGTTGATTTTCTCATCACGGGTTAGAAGAACATAGTTCTCTGTTACATTTTTGATTTGTCGGTTTCGAACACCATTGTTCCTTTTAGTTTTGTTATTGTTGACTTCAAAGGAATTAAAAAGAATTTGGTCTTGTGTTACTTTTTATGGATACTGATACAATCAAACTCATGAACCAAGACTTTGTCCGTCTTGATCGATTCGATGATGCAAATTTCACAAGATGGAGCGACAAATCAAAATTTATGCTTACTGCTTTGAAGATCTTTTATGTGCTTGATCCAAATCTTTCTCCAATTCCTTCACCAAAGGATGATGATTCTGAAGAACTCAAGGCACAAAGAAAAAAAGAAAGGAAGATGAAATCATGTGTATAGGCCACATTCTCAATGCACTTTCAGATCGCCTTTATGATCTCTACATGGTCGAACCTTCCGTTAAGAAGATATGGAATACCTTGGAATTCAAGTATAAAGCCGAGGAGGAAGGTACCAAAAAGTTTCTGGTTTCCAAGTATTTTGAGTTCAAATTTACTGATGATATGCCTATTTTAGCACAAAGTGCATGAACTACAGGTCATAGTAAATTAGTTGAGGGTTGCGGGAATTGAACTTCCTGGATCTTTTCAAGTTGGTGCGATTGTAGCAAAATTGCCACCATCATGGAAAGGATATAGGAAGAAAATTCTCCATGATTCTAAAGAATTTTCTTTGGAAGAAATTCAAAAGCACCTTCGAATCGAAGAGGAATCTAGGGAGAGAGATAAGAATGAAAATTCTTATAATGGCAATAATAAAGACAATGCTTTGAATAAGCCCTCAAACAAATCCAATAAAGCAAAGCAAAGCAAAGGAATTTATCTCGGTCCTAAAAAAGATTAAAAGAAACTCAAGAAGTCCAAACAAGGAGGTTGCTTTGTGTGTGGAAAGCCTGACCATTATGCTAGAGATTGCACATTTAAGAAGACTCAGAAATCAAAAGTGAATTCAACAAAAGAAAATGAAGAGATCGTTGCTACTGTGAGCGAGATCTATGCCATACAAGGCAAAGTTTCTAGTTGGTGGTATGATATATGTGCCACAGTTCATGTTTTCTACGACAAATTCCTCTTCAAGACTTACAAAGAAGTGACTCATGAACAAGAGGTTCAAATGGGAAATGAAGGAAGGTCCGAAGTTTTTGGCAAGGGAAATGTCGAACTTGCATTTACTTCGGGCAAGATGGTTACTCCTACCAATGTCTTACATGTTCTCGATATGAATCAGAATCTTGTTAGTGGGGGTACTTTTGGACAAACCGGGTATTAAATTTGTATTTGAATTGGAAAAATTAAGTTTGTACTGAAATGGTGTCTTTGTTGATAAAGGCTATTCTACTGATGAAATAGTCAAATTATCTGTAACTGATGATTTTATTATTAATAATAAGAATGATGTTTCTATTTATATGTTGGATTCAATTTATTTATGGAATTATAGATTAGCACATATTGACCTAAGTACTATGAAAAGAATGGTTAAAAATGGATTGATTTCTTGCAACTTAAACGAATTCGAAAAATGTGAATTGTGTGTTAAATCTAAATTGACTAAGACACATTTTAAAAGTAATGAAAGAAACACAAACCTGTTAGATTTGATACATTCTGATATATGTGAGTTAAATGGCATGCTAACGAGAGGCGGCAATAGATATTTTATAACTTTTATTGATAATAGTTCTAGATATACTTATGTATATTTATTGAGACACAAAGATGAAGCCTTTAATATTTTTAAGAATTATAAGGTTGACGTGAAAAATCAGTTAGGAAAAAGAATTAAAGTTTTAAGAAATGATAGAGGAGGAGAATATTTTCCTAAAGAATTTAATACTTTTGTGAAGAAAATGACATTATTCATGAATGTTCTGCTCCTCGCACTCCTCAACAGAACGGTTTAGCAGAAAGAAGAAATAGAACTTATCTAGAAATGGTTAATGCTTTGTTGTTACATGCTGAATTGCCATTTAATTTGTGGGGAGAAGCACTTCTTGCTACATGTCACATATTTAATAGGATTCCTATGAAGAAAAATTAAATTACTCCATATGAATTATGAAAGGGAANTAAATTACTCCATATGAGTTATGAAAGGGAAGAAAGCCTAATATAGTATATTTTAAAGTGTGGGGGTGTCTTACATATTGCAAAAATAATGATCCAAATCGGACGAAGTTGGGTCCTAGAGGGATCAAGTATGCATTTGTAGGTTATGCCTCAAATAGTAAAGCTTATTGACTTCTTAATTTAGAGTCGAATGTCATTATTGAATCTAGAGATGTGAAATTTTTTGAATATCTCTTAACCTCGGGTAGAAGATTTCAATCTTCATCAACTGATGTAACATTAGAAAAAATATCTCAAAGGATTGTTGAGCAATCTAGTTCACAGGAGGTTAATGATCAACCTTTTGAACAAAGGAGAAACACTAGAGTTCGAAAGGCTAAAATACTTGGATCAGATGAGGTTGACTCTCAACGTATTTCTTTTAATCTTGTTGAAGGTAATAGAGATGCAATTATGAGAACAACTCCAATTATTCTTCAAGTGGAAGCTGATCCTAAATCTTATAAAGAAGCTATGGCTTCTAGAGATTCGACTTTTTGGAAAGATGCTATTAAAGATGAAGTAGATTCAATAATGTCAAAACACATTTGGGAACTTGTTGATTTGCCTCCAACTTCTAAACCTATCGGTTGTAAGTGGGTATTTCAGAGAAAGTATCATACTGATAGGACTTTACATACTTACAAAGCTAAGTTAGTCGTTAAGGGATTTCGATAAAAAGAAGGAATTGATTATTTTGATACATATGCACCAGTAGCAAGAATTACTTCAATTAGAATTATATTTGCTTTAGCGTCCATTTATGACCTACATGTTCATCAAATGAATGTCAAAACGGCATTCTTCAATGGTGATCTCGAGGAGGAGGTCTATATGGAACAACCTGAAGGTTTCGTTCAACCGGAAAATGAACATAAAGTTTGTAAGTGTCACAACCCGAAATTTCCACCGTCGGGACCGTGATGGCGCCTAACATTCCACTTTCTAGGCAAGCCGACGTTAGAGAATTATTAAGCCAATCCTTATTCAATTAAGTAAATAACAACAAATAAGCTAAAATAAAATACAGCGAGTGCAGAATAATATAAAAACTTCATTAATTACTACCACCCGGATCTGGAGTCACAATTCACGAACTTTTAGAATTTACCACAAGTACAAGTCTGAAAGAAAATACAAGTGTTTGAACGAAAGAAACAGTAAAGAAAAATAAAGAAAAGATAGGCGAGGACTTCAAGGTCTGCGAACACCAACAAATCTACCTTGAGTCTCCGATGAACCAGTCTTAGCTGCTACGCCTCTCGATCAGCTGGGACCAATACCAAAATCTGCACAGGAAGTGCAGAGTACAGTATCAGTACAACCGACCCCATGTACTGGTAAGTGTCGAGCCTAACCTCGACGAAGTAGTGACGAGGCTATGACAAGATACCAACATAACAAATCTGCGCAATTTAACAGAATATGTACAAATAACAGCAAAACATGTACTATTGGGAGGGGGAACATGCTGAGGGAAATACGAGATAGAGAACTACAGCAGAATGGTAACTTGAATAGCCAATATACTATGAACCAATAAGAACAAGTAAATACAGTAAAAGAAAAATGCACGGCATCATCCTTCATGCTTTAACTC